TTAGGTGTGTGTTGAGGGCAATTAGGTGAGTCTGAGGGTGTCATTAGGTGTGTGTTGAGGGCAATTAGGTGAGTCTGAGGGTGTCATTAGATGTGTGTTGAGGGCAATTGAGTCTGAGGTGTCATTAGGTGTGTGTTGAGGGCAATTACGTGAGTTTGAAAGTGTCATTAGGTGTGTGTTAATGGGCAATTAGGTGAGTCTGAGGGTGTCATTAGATGTGTGTTAATGGCAATTAGGTGAGTTTGAAAGTGTCATTAGGTGAGCATAATGCGTCATTATGTGAATTTAGAAATGTTAAGCTAAGTGTCAGTTGTATTGCTTTTACGTTCTATTTAGTTCACTTTTTTACATTTATGTGTGATTCCCGTTCTTGGAATCTATTCCAATTCCATAGAAACTCCCGTTCTTATATATATATATTATATATATATATATATATATATATTTTTTTTTTTTTTTTATTATTTATTTATTTATTTATTTATTTATTTATTATTTATTTTTTTTTACCGCCTTTAGAATCTACTTAGACATTCCCGTACCTGGAATCTATTCAAATTCCTTAGAAACATATATCTTTCAACCCGAATAAAAGGTATCTTTATGTAACTTACAAGAAAAACAACAACAACAACAGCAACAGATATTCTAATACACCCACACCCACTGCAAACCACACACACACCACACCCATGAAAATAACCACACCAAACCCAACGCCCTACACCCACTGCACACCACACCACACACACCACCCATGAAAAATAACCACACCAAACCCAAACGCCCTACACCCACTGCACACCACACACACACACCACACCCATGAAAATAACCACACCAAACCCAACGCCCTACACCCACTGCACACCACACACACACACCACCCCCATGAAAATAACCACACCAAACCCAACGCCCTACACCCACTGCACACCACACACACACACCACACCCATGCCACACCAAACCCAACGTCCTACACCCACTGCACACCACACACCACATTCATAGAAATAACCACACCAAACCCACCACCCTCCTTCCCACTTCGCAGGCGTGGGCGGTAGCAACGGCCCCCACTGGCATACCAACCGGCGCTTCACCCTCCGTCAGCTGAAGAACCAGGGGATGGGGAAATCCACGCTGGTGTCGGGCATTCACGAACAGGCGAACATGCTGATTGGGAAGTTTCAGGAGCAGGCCGGGAAGAGCGCGGCTGTTCCGTACGCCATTAGGGTGGCTGTGGTGAATGTCATTTGGCATATGGTGGCGAGTGAGTAACGAGTGGGAGGAGCTGGGATTTCTTTTTTTGACACTTCTCTCTCTTTTTATATTTTTTTTCCACATTTCTCTCACTTTTTTCACATTTCTCTTTTTATTTTTTTCACACACTTTTTTTCTTTTTTATTTTTTTCACATTTCTTTTTTATTTTTTCACATTTCTTTTTTTTCACACTTTTCTTTTTTATTTTTCACACTTCTCTCTCTCTCTCTCTCTCTCTCTTCTCTCTCTCTCTCTCTCTCTCTCTCTCTCTCTCTCTCTCTCTCTCTCTCTCTCTCTCTCTCTCTCTTCACACTCTTTTTATTTTTTTTACAATTCTCTTTTTTTTTTTGGGGGGGGGGTTATGTAAGGTGGGGCGTTCGTGTATTGGTGTTCATAATAGCAATCATGATTTTTTCTCTCTCTCAATCGGTTAAAACCAATCCTTTATATATTCCCAATCAGTAAAACAAGAAATACACTTATTTCCAAGTAATGATAAAAATACAGCGGTTGTTCCCAATCAACAAAACCACAATTGCATTAATTCCCAGTGAGATAAAGACCAATCCTGACTTTAATAAATTCCAAATGATAAAACCAACCCTCCACTCCCCCCCCCCAAAAAAAAAAAAAAAAATAATAGTAATAAAATAAATTAATAAATAAGACGATAATTGATAATAAATAACGTCTTTTTTTTTACTTAACAAGGCATTACCTACGACGTGGACGACCCAAAACTCAAGGAATTCATGCAGCTGATGGACGACTTCGGAGAGATGACCTACTACAGCACTTTCCTCGATATCTTCCCTTGGCTTCGTAATATCCCGGCCTTTTTAAAGAACCGGCTCTTTGCCTTGGACCAAGTCGAGATTACCGACCAGAAGTTCATGAATTACTTCTACGTAGGTGTTTTTTTTCTGTATTTTTGACTTTTTGGTTCGGTTTGTTCAATGAGAAGGAAATGAGATAGAGATCAGGACGTTGCAGGGATACGCACACAAGCACACAGAAAGAGGTATACATACATATACACATACACTCAAACGCAAACACGAACACAAACATACACATAAACACACTCATACTCACACACACACACATATATACATACACACACACATATACATACACACACACGTTCACCTTGTCCACATCCTACAAAATAACAAACATATATATACATAATATATATATATATATATATATATATATATATATTATATATATATATATATATATATAATATATATATATATATATATATATATATATATACATAACACTACACACTAGCTTTACAATCCTACACCACCAAAGAAATACACATAACAACAACCACAACAAACTTTCCTTCCATGATTTTATTTCTGTAACTCATTCCATTTCACAACAGGAAGTTATTAAAGAGCACAAGAGCTCCCTGGACCCCGAGAACCCACGCGATCTCATAGACAGTTACCTGCTGGACACGGAAGGGATGGAGCAAGAAGAAGTCATCCGTAGTGGTGAGTCTTTGGCATGTCTTTCTTGGAGTTTAAAGCTAAGGGCACGCTAGTCTTCTTAGCCCTGGGTGTATGATGCGTTCAGTCCCACGCGCTTCCTGTGGATGGTAACCCCGGCCATTCCTTGCACACAGGGGGGGATTTAGAAGCAGAACAAAACAGTATGCCACAGCAAAGAATATCCATTGTGACAAATGGAGTGAAAACTAAATCCAAAATCTAAAACCCTAGACAGGCTCGCCGAAGTCTGGCCAGCTACAGCTTTTGATTGGTCGGCTGACCTGACTTCGGCGAGGCTGTCTTGGGATCCCAGGACAGAGGAGATTGATGTGACCTTTGCTTTCGAGGGGAAGATGTGGCTCTTGACACACACACACACACACACACACACACACACACACACACACACACACACACACACACACACACCACACACACACACACACACACACACACACACACACACACACACACGCACGCACGCACGCACGCACACACACACACATACGTATATATACGCATACTGTATGTATGTGTCACAGACACACATATATCTATTTACCTATCAGCCTATATGCCTATCTATCTGTCTGTCTATACACGAACATAATCTTAATCAAAGCAACATTATCTTGAAAGCTAAAACCGTAAATGCACACACCGAACCGATCCCCCAACCCAAGCGCGCGCGCACCCATTGCAGACAAGGACTTGGCTCTCCTGATCTTCGACCTCTTCTTCGCCGGGAGCGAGACGACCTACAGCACCCTCACCTTCGCCATGTACTACCTCGCCGCCTTTCCGGAGGCTCAGCGGAAACTGCAGGAGGAAATCGACCGCGCTCTACCCGGCGACGTCCTGCCCACCCTGGAGGACAGGGCGAGGTGGGTCATGGGGCTTCTTGTGTTGGGCTACGCGTGCAGAAGTCATGTAGGAATAATGATTATTTTACTACATGTATGTGTGTGTGTGAGTGTGAGTATGTGTGTCTGTGCAACAGCAGATACATAGATAGTCAGCGAGAGAGAGAGAGAGAAAAGAAGGAACATACAGAATGACAGATAGAATATCCTCTAAGCAAATGTTCTTCCTCACAGTCTACCATATCTCGAGGCTGTTCTTCACGAAGTCCTCCGTATGACGTCGCTCGTCCCTGGCGGAGTTCAACACTGCGCCAGCAGAGACACGCACTTTGCAGGATATACCATTCCCAAGGTACGTTATGTGCAGTGTGGGAGCGAATGAACATTGCGTCTCGTTTACCATTCGAAACTAAGGCTATTTTTTCGGAGGAGGCGAGACACTCCCGCGTCACGTTTGCAAACGGAACGCTTCCCAGACGAAGACGGTTGCGACCGTATCCGTCTAACTAATTTCCGTCTTAATTTTGTACTCCGAAGTATATATACAGCTAGAATGTTTCTTGTTGATGAATTAGATAGAATGAGTGAATGTAAACATAAGCTAATATTTTAGAACATCCGTATATACAATATTCATCATATATATATATATATATATATATATATATATATTATATATATATATATTTTTTTTTTTTTTTTTTTTTTTTTTTTTTTTTTTTTTTTCTTTCTTTTTTTGATAGCGTAATATGTATGAGAATGTTAACGATAAGTCCGATATGCAAAGCTGAGCCTCGCCCTGGGTATGAGGGGAGCCCGGCCTGTGCCGACTAATGTCGACTCGATCAACGTGTCAGCTACGTGACTATAAATATTTGAGGTAAAGGGAATGCTTCTTGCAGTTCGATAAATGTTTACCACATACTTCAGTCCTGACGCGCGAGAGGTGTCGGGTTTGCCGTAACACTGGAAAAGACGGCACAAGTAACAGGGAGTTATGCATGATTATGTATGAATTCGGTGAGAATAAACCACACATATGTTTACATAACTATGTCATAAAATCTCGCAGTATATTTCCTTTATTCCCAAAGCAATTCCTCAGCTCTATCTTATTTCTATCGTGCAATCGAAATCCACACTTCAGTTCACATATTCCTAGAGCAATATCTCCATCATTTTATTCTGTCGTATCATCGTAATAAACACATTCAATTTCCTCACCTCTCACACTTCCCGTCACATATTCCCTCAGCACTTTCCTCATCGCATAATTTCCATCTCATATTCCCACAGCACTTTCCTCATCTCACACATTCCCGCCTCATAATCCCCACAGCACTTTCCTCATCTCACACATTCCCGCCACTCCACAGCACTTTTCCTCTCACACACATTCCCACAGCACTTCCTCACCTCACACATTCCCACAGCACTTTCCTCACCTCACACATCCCCGCCACATATTCCCACAGCACTTTCCTCATCTCACACATTCCCGCCTCATAATCCCCACAGCACTTTCCTCACCTCACACATCCCCGCCACATATTCCCACAGCACTTTCCTCATCTCACACATTCCCACAGCACTTTCCTCGCCTCCATTTTATTTCCTCATGTCAATCTCACTCCCAGGGCTCGATCATCAACACCGCAGCTGCCTCGATCCACTACGACTCGAGATATTGGGACCGTCCTGAGAGCTTCTTCCCGGAGCGCTGGTTAGACGAGGAAGGGAAATTCTGCGCCAAGAAGGAGGGGTTTCTTCCCTTCGGCGTTGGTACGGAGAAGTGGATCCTCAGGCCAAGTTTATTGTTATTGTATTGCTGAATGATTCCTTTCTGTCTCTCTTTCTGTTATCTCTCTTTTTCTTTCTCTTTCTCTCTTTCTCTCTTTATCTTTCTTTCTCTTTCTCTCTCTCTCTCTCTCTCTCTCTCTCTCTCTCTCTCTCTCTCTCTCTCTCTCTCTCTCTCTCTCTCTCTCTCTCTCTCTCTCTTATGTTAGGAAGGAAAGGTTCTCAATCCTTCCTTCGTTCTTGTCACATAGATATTTTTTTATTAATTAAAATTACAGGAACGCGATTTAAGGAAACGGACAGATAGTATTATCCAACCCCTTTCTTACATAAACATTTTGATAAAGAAAGATACATTATGTAATCTTCCATAATTCCTTTTCTCGTCCTCCTACATATGATAAATATCGACATAAAAAAATCCTACAGATACATCATCTTTTCCCTCATCACCGTCACATATAAAACAACTCAGACCTACCTCTTGACAACATGACCTCTCTACCAGCTAATTAAATCCCAACAGGTAAGCGTGTCTGTCTGGGCGAGTCTCTGGCACGCATGGAGCTCTTCATTTTAGCCGTGGCGGTGTTCAAGAACTTCACCATTTCGCCTCCTCCGGGTACTCCGTCAACCAGACGATCCACCCAGCCCGACCCAGCCGATGTTCCACGTGCCAAGGAAGTTAGAATATTACGTAACTTGCGAGTAAGGAAATTGAAGATGAAGATAGAGGAAGCGTGTATGACAATATGGATAATGGTTGAAGATTTGAGGATGAAGAAAATAGAGGAACCGTGAGAAAGGGACAGGATAGATTATTGAGGATGAAGAAGATTAAAATAGGACAGCGTGGAAAACTGGAAAATGGTCAAGATTTTAGGAGGATGATGTATTGTGTATATGTTGGTCAATTTGATCACTTGTGAGAATAGGGAAACGGTTGAATTGTTTGAGGATGAAGATAGTTTATTATTTGATAAGTACTTCGTGAGAAAGGTAAGAAATGATAAGATTTGAGGATGATGAAGATATATAGGAATGTTGTTGAAGTAAAGGGAATGGTGTGTGTAAAGATTTGAGGATGAAGATAGAGGAAGCGTGAGAAAGAGAAATGGTGAAGATTTGAGGATGAATTGACATAGAAGGTAAGCGTGAGAAAGAGAAATGGGTGAAGATTTGGAGCATTTGAGATAGATGGATAAACGTGAGAAAAGGAATTGGTAGAATTATGAGAGATGTAAAGAAAATTTGGGAAAGTGTTGAGAAGTGTGAATTGTTGTGAATGATTTTGAGGATGATGAAGATATAGGAAGCGTGAGAAAGTGAAATGGTATTTAGGAAGTGAAAGATTATGAGGAAGCGTGAGAATAAGGAATTGGTGAAGATTGAGGATGAAGATTAGAGGAAGCGTGAGAATATGGGATATTGTGTGAATAGATTTGAGGTATTGATATAAAGATAGAGGAAGCGTAGAGTAGTAGAGAATGGTGAAGTTTGAGAATGAAAGATATGTAATTATAGCGAAGCGTGAGAAAAGGATATGAGTTTGAAGATTTTTGAGGATGAAGAAGAATATGGGTGGTGTAGAAATGAGAATTGGTGAATAAGATTATGAGGACGAATGAAGATATAGGAAAGTTTACGAGCTAGTGAGAATAGGGATATGGTTATAAGATTTGAGGGATGATTAGAGATATAGTATGTTTTGTTAAGTAGGGAATAAATGGTGAAGAATTTGAGAATGAGTTTTGAGATATAGGAAGCTGTCGTGATGGGAAAGTTGGTTGAAGATTTGTAAGGTATAGGGATTATAAGGTTATATTATATTTAAAGCCCGGTGTGAGAAAGGGAAATTAGGTGAATAGATTTGAGGATGAAGAAAATATAGGAAGCGTGAAAAAATGGGAAACGTGATGTATAAAGATTTGAGGATGAGCTTATGATTCACGATAGGTGGCAGAGATGTGGACAAATTTAAAATTTAGAAGAATATAGTGATTATGGAAGAAAGATTCGTTTACTTATTTATTTAGCACAATCGCTAAGTAATTTTAATTAGTTCAGTATCCTCTGGAATGTAGCACTATTGAATTAATGACGAAGATTAGAGAGTGCGAGAAAGTAGGTAGTTGAAGATTTTAGAATAAACCTACAATCATAAAGAATGGATTAGCATTGCAAACATGAAATGTGCATTTTTAGGGGTAAACCTTTTGATAATATACAAGGTTAGTAACTGCAAGAATGTGAAAATGTGATTTTGGAATAAACCCATTATAATGCATAAGGTTAAAATATTCAAAATTTTAGGAAAGCATGCCAATAGTTGCTCTGTAGTTTTAGAAGGTCTAGATATTTATTCATGTTATTCTATATGTATTTATAAAATATATATTTATATATATTATAAGCTAATAAAGCACAAGTACTGTGGTGAAGACATAATCCGCAAATCTACTTTGTTATCATAATTATGTACATTATATTTCATATCTTACTGTCTCCAAACATATCTAATCATATACCATCATCACTACTACCCATCAACCTAAATCGATTCAATTATAGTAGAGAGAAGCGAGATAGTAAAGATATGATTAAGGTTAAGAAGAGAGAGATAAAGAGATAGATTTCTAGAAAGAGATGATGATGAGATGAATAAAAAGAGATATGATTGAAAGAGGAGAGGATAGAGAGTATCAGAGATAGATAGTAGAGAGAGAGAGAGAGAGAATAAAGAGATAATAGATAGAAAGAGAGAGATAAAGAGTTAGTATGTAAAAGAGAGAGAGATAGATAAGTATAATTATAATAAGATGTAGAGATTAAGATAGATTGAGAGAAGATAAAGATGAAAAGAGTTAAGGTAATTTAATGTTAGGTCCAATAATACAGTTTAGATCACCTCCTATAAATGCGACACGGTATATACTGTTTAAATTCTTTAATTTGAATATATGTAATATCATTGTGAATACTTTCAGTCTTTCATAATTCCGTCAATATATGAACTTAAACCCATAACCCTTTTATAATTGCTACATAATGGTTAGAATTACTGAATAATTATTAGCGTTGTAACCACAACTATAGAGAGTGGAGGGATGGAGATAGATATGAAATAGATATCGATAGAGTAGATATGCTTATTAATAGATATATCAGATCGAAATAGATGAGAGAAAGATGAGATAGAGAGGTATAAGATTGAGAAGCTGTTGCATTTAATGTATATAGTTATTGAGCATATTTAGCAGAGAGAAGAGAGAGAGTAGAGAGAGAGAGAGAGAGAGAGAGAGATGATGAGAGAGAGAGAGAGAGAGAGAGAGTAAGAGATGAGAGAGAGAGAGTATGAGATAGAGCCAGAGAATGATAAGGGAGATTGGAGTAGATGAAGAAAGAGCATAAAGAAATAGGTTTATAGTCAATTATAGTATATAGTATATGTATTGTACCAATGGAGATTCTAAATTGACGTGGTGGCCTGAGTGTAGTATTACTAGCATCGGACTTTTATGTGAATTCGGCGTATCAAAATCCGAGGGTTCGAGTCCTCCGTGTACTGTGAACGCTTATGTAGGCATTGTAATTATCACTTAGGAAACTTATTATTTAACCTTATTTGATTCATGCTCATAACATTATTATATAAAGCACCTAGTATAGTGGAGGCAAGACCAGCCTTTTGATGGGATGTTCGGTTACCCTATAGCTACCGGATAGTAATAAAGAGATGTTGAATTTCAGGGAAAAGGGCCACTCCACTGTAAAAACCCATGAACAAAACTAGTATGGAAATTATATAGTTATTAAGTTGCCGACATATGAATGTATCTAGTTGGGTGGTTGGGGGGTGGTGCTCTAGGTTCACGCATAACGGCGATCCCATAATAGATATAGTAAGAAAGCATTAGTAAGAAGGTAATGAAAATAGAGTGAAATTTTACCATTATTATCAACCAACCTCAACAAAGTCTAAATCAAACTGATAGAGGTGGGGAGGGGGGGAAGAACTTTCTAAAAGCCAAATGGTGAGATCGCTGCCCTTTCCTAACACCATATGAAAAAGAATTGTAACAAAATATGTTATACCCTCTCTCTTTTAATTAAACTAATAACTTAAAGGGGCTTCTCAGTGGCATTATTGACTCTTTGAGAACGCAAAAAAAATAAGGGAAATCTTAGTAACACTACATAATTACACCTAAAGACCATTTCAGTTTGCAACGAAGCAAGGATGAATTCTCATGATGAATCAAGGTAAAGAGGAGTTTCTTTTGCCTAGAAATATTTTTTAGTTGTTTAGTATATCAATTACATCATATTTTTGTCATTATGCTATATACATGGTGCTTATTCATCAATCATTAATTTATTTATTTATTCCATACATTATCATTGTGATTTTTTTTTTCTTTTGGCTACTTATTTGTTTCTATATTGCATGGGTAAATTACCTCAATGTCTCCATGTGTAATCTTATCTCTATACTAGTAACAGAGTTTTGAAATTCCCTGCCCCCCCCTGCTAATTTTTTTTTTTTTTTATTTTTTTTTTTTTTTACATTTGCACGATGTTATCACAATGTTATCGTTTTACGTACCATTTCCCCCAATGGAGAATAATATAGCCAACAAATGTATTTTGATTCGAAGTCCTGGATATCAAAGTCTGTCCACAAGGCAGCAAGAATTCTAATACAGCTTTGTTAATATCAAGCACTTTTCCAAATTAATGTTTTACGGAGATTTGACCTGCACCTTCTTTTTACTTCCCATACAAGGTAAAATAGATTAAACTCAAGTGCGCGTGTTAAATATTTTATTTCGTTTAATAGTAACTCTTTTTATTAAATATACAAAAAGTATAGTTCATTTTGAATATATTTCCAGCACTGGGAAAATGTGATACGTCCAGCACCGAGGCAAAAATCACAAAATGCTACTGGGTCAATTAATCTAATATTTTAGGATCCTTCTTGCGCCAGTCACTAAGCCTCAAAAATGAAACATTGATGATTATCAACGTAAAAGACAAAACACAAGCCAAATATTTTAGAGAGAGCAAGGCTACGATCTATTCTCTGGAGGTATTCTTAAAATGCCCGAGGAATCTGTACCCTTAAGCTAGAGCGTTGGACATTCTTTCGTGAACAAAGAAGTCCGTAATTGCATTGTTTAGGCTTATAACATCACTGACAAAGACATAGCAACCCCATATTGAGCTGCGATGCCATTTACGACCTATCCTCCCAGGTTGCACTCAATAATACTGCAATATGTGTTGCAATTTTCTCCGAAATATTTCTTGGAGCATGACCACTCCATGGCGACACCCTACATGTTTACCGTAATCGACACTGGATAAGATAAGCAAATCCCGGTCATAAAATCGAAGAATTTCAGTTCATAAAATAATCCCATGATGTTGATACGACAAAATCCAATATGGGTGCTTATTTCCACATAGTTTATTAAACCCCGAAAGAAAGAGCGGGCGGAGGGGGGGGGGGCTGTCTTTAATCTGGAGTGAAATGAACTAAGGAAAATGTGAAGGAAGCATTTTACGTTCAAAGGTTGTGTTAAGTACCTGCAAAGGGAGGTATATGATAGTGATATATGAATCGCTTCCTTATTCTATATTTCACAGGACTTGAAGATCTTTGCTAGATACTCTACTTCAGGGTTTTCTTTTATTTAAAATTTCAAGGACGACACTTTTTTCTAACTCTATCTGCTGCTCATTGCACTTACTCAAGATATTACTCTCAGGCTTGGAAATCTTGGAATAAGTCTACACACTACAGAGGAGGGGTGTCACACAAACGGCCCGAGGAACATTTGCTATTTCGGTTTTACAGTGGGCCCTTTTACAAGATTAATTAAATCAGGCCTTCACACTTTACATTTTTGTCTAATGTTATGATTTTGTAATGTCTAAAATAGGCTCTTGATTCTTACGTCAACCATATGGTCGTTTCGTCACCTCGACTCACGAAGGCGAAATATGGCCTTGGAAAATGAGTCTGACATCCTCGCTATAGAGGGATTGTTGATGGACCCGTGTTTTTTAATCCCTCTCCCTTACGAATAAACCTGAAAAAATAAGCGTCGTCTGCCACCGGAACCTGGCACATCATAACGAAGAAATCATTTATCCTCCGAATAGAAAGTGTCGGCTACTCATTTAGCGAACAGTGATGCAGATGTCTTGCTTCCTCGGGGTATGGAACATGGGCACCGCGGGATCAGCTGTGACGTCCAGCGTGGAACCTTTGGGCGGGGCGAAGCTGAGGCTCTGAAGCATTGCCGTGGCGAAGATGAGGAGCTCCATGCGGGCCAGGGACTCCCCGAGGCACACTCTCTTGCCTGCGGAGAGGGGGGCACTCGTCAGATCGTTAGCAGAACGTGAATGACTTTAAAGAGCGTTAAAATGACGGTAATGGTTTCGCTGTTTCCGTCTTGCGTTCTCTCTCTCTCTCTCTCTCTCTCTCTCTCTCTCTCTCTCTCTCTCTCTCTCTCTCTCTCTCTCTCTCTCTCTCTCAACGCAGCACAAGTAAAGCTAAATTATGCATAAATGAAGATAAATACAAGCAAGAGTACAACTTGCTAAATGAAAGTAATTAAACAAACCTAAAGAATGCATAAATGAAAGTATTTTGTTACCAACTTCACAGAAGTAAAAATAAAATTAATCTGCCAAATTCTCAAAAAAAAAAAAGAAAAAGAAAAAGAAGGAAAAAAAGTATAAATGAACAAAATATTTTCACATCAACCAACTTCATACCAGAAAAAAAATTCCGCCATTACGCACCCGAACCGAAGGGCAGGAACCCCTCCTTCTTCGTGGTGAACTTCCCGTTCTCGTCGAGCCAGCGTTCGGGCTTGAGTGCCTCCGGCTTCTCCCAGTACCTCGGGTCGGCGTGCATCAACATCGCCGACGTACAGATGGCCGAACCCTGTCGAGAGAGAATCCAATCCTAAGTTACAGTCCTCGTTGTTTTCTAGTGTGTAAATTCTTCCCGTACGGTCGGTCATTGGAATTTTGTCCATTGAGATAAAATTAACTAGATTTCTTTGGTAATCGTTATTTTCCAGTGTGTTAATGCCACTTTTAGTACGAGTTGGAATTTTGTCCAGAAATTTTAAAGATCATCTGCGCTTCTCTGGCATGGCGCTGCTTTCTTGTCTTTATGTTATTCTAAAACACTTAAATGTCACTTTTAAATGATCGACAAAGAAATCCTAAATTACTAGTTTTCAATCAAGCCTTGAAATAATTTCAGAAAATGCACGAATCCACACAGTGATCATAAATTACCTTTCCAGAGAGGGCAAGAACAACCTAAAATCCTACTGAAAAAAGTACATTACAAGCCAATACCTTTGGAATTAAATATCCTCCAAAATGCATGTCTTTAGTGGCGCTGTGTTGGGCTCCGATGGGGAGGAGGGAAGACAAGCGGAGGACTTCATGCAGAACCGCTTCGGTGTAGGGCAGCCTGGGAGTGAATGACGGGGTAAAAAAATGCACACATACACATAAACACACACACACACACACACACACACCCACACACACACACACACACACACACACACACACACACACACACACACACACACACATAGACACACACACGCAATTATACATATAACGCCCAATATAAGGTTTATCATATATGAATACACATGTACAACAGCGTGCCTTCAATATTGGTACCGCTGATCACCTTATAACAAGCCCTAGAATGAGACACAACACAACAAAATCACTTCGCCTACCTGGCCCTGTCTTCGAGCGTCGCCAGGGTACCCTTGGGCAGCACTTCGTCTATCTCCCTCTGCATGGTCGTCTGAATCTCGGGGTGCATGGCCAGGTATTGGACCATGAAGGTGAGGGTGTTCGTCGTCGTTTCACTCCCGGCGAAGAAGAGGTCGAGGGTCAGGAGAGCCAAGTCCCTTTCTGGAAGGAAATGGGGTTGGAATCGCATCGGCGTACCTCCATGCTGGTGGAATTGTTTTGTTGTTTATTGGATAGTGTAATAAACCTTTAGGTGGGATTAAAAAAAAAAAGTAATTGATTTTCATTCTTCTTGGTGTTATGTACCTTTAAGTAAAAAAAATAAAACTAGAAAAAAAAGTCTTAGCACCATACATCTTCACGTATCCAATATAAAATAAACAGACCCCCCCAACGAAAAAATCTAATAAAAATGAATAATAATGATATCAAAAGAACAAAAATAAATGAATAAAAGGTACTCACCACTGCGAACGACATCCGGGCTCCCGCTGCCTTCCTTCATCTCCAAAAGATAAGCATCGATAAGATCGCCTGGGTTATCGGGGTCCAGGGAAGCCTTGTGTTCTTGGATCAGTTCCTGTCGCAAAACATTAGTAGAAAAAAAACAGTAAATAAGTAATTAAGTAATTCAATTAATGTACAGATAAATATATAAATAAATGAGTGAATAGACAGATAAAATGGTGAATGAATAGGTATATGTTAGGGAATAAATAGATTGATAGAATAATAGTGAATGAATAGGTAAATGGTAGATAGGCAGATATGTAAGTTAATAGGTACATAATTAAGTACAAAAATTAAATTAAATATATAAATAGGTGAATAATGAATAAATGTAAAGATGCACAAATAAAGTAATAAATGACTATTGCATGAATGTGTAAACAAACAAACAAACAAATAAATAAAAAACCCTTTCAGGTGCAGTCTACAGACCTATGCAGCAATCTTTCTCTTCTTATCATTACAGTTTAGAATTACTATACATCTCCACGTTCTCGATCGTTACTACTTACATCAAAATAAATGAAGAATTTTTCTTTAAATTCCTCTAGACGATCCAAACCGAAGACACGATTCTGGACGAATTTGGGCAAATATTTCAGACCCGGGAAGAAGTCCCTCACACCCAACGCAAACGTGGCGGCATTCAAATCTTCCAGAAGCTTGTCAAATTCCTTCATTCTCTTGTCATCCATGTCGAACATTTTACCTTGTGGAAATAAAATTGAAATCCAATAATCCACTGTTGTTATTGCTCTTGATTCGATTGGTAGGTTACATTTTCCGACCAAATTTGGCATACCGTTTTTTTTGCTAAACAGCGACAAATTATCACATTGAACCAGATGAGAGGAGAGAGGAGAGAGAGAGAGAGAGAGAGATAGAGAAGAGGGCGGAAGCGTTATTAGATAAGAGAGAATATGGAGAGAGAGGTGTAATGATTATTTTGATGTATTCTGAAGATGATTGAGAGAGGTTTTTATTTACAGAGAGAGAGAGATGAGTTTTGAAGAGAGAGAGTATTAGAGTGAATCTTTGTGAGCGAGTTATGAGAGATTAGTGTGAGAATATGTATTTGTTAGCTGTTTATTTGTTATTGAGAAGTAGTAGATGTATGAGAGAGTACGAGAGGAGAGAGGAGAGAGTAGAGAAGGAGAGAGAGAGAGGTATGGAGATTTTGAGATTGAGTAAGGAGAGAGATGAGAGCAGTAAGAGATTGGGAGGTGAGAGAGAGGAGAGAGTATCTATAGGAGTTGTTTATATAAGTGAGAGGAGAGAGAGCAAGTAGAGAGAGAGAGAGAGAAGAGAGAGTAGAGAGAGAGAGAGAGAGAGAGAGAGAGAGAGAGAGAGAGAGAGAGAAGAGACAAAGAGAGAGGAGAGAGAGGAGATAAGAGGTGCAAAGAGAAGCATCATAAGAATGTGGGTGTGTGGTGGAAGTGTGTGTTCTTGAGAATGAGGATGAGAAGTAGAGAGAGAGAAGAGAGAGAGAGAGAGTAGAGAAGAGAGAAGAGGTATGAGAGGAGAAGGAGAATTGATGAACAAAAGATGATGTGGATGATTGGAACATAGAGAGAAGGAGAGAGAGAAAGAGACAAAGAGAAGAGGAGAGAGAGAAGAGAGACCGAATAGAGAGTAGAGAGGAGAGAAGAGAGAATGTGAGAGAGAGAGAGAGAGAGAGAGAGAGAGAGACATAAGAGAGAGAGAATACAGAAGGAGAGATGACAAGAGAGAGAAGAACAAATGATGAGAGATGTACATAAGAAAGACGAGGAGAGTAGAGAGAGATAGAGAGAGAGAAGAGAGTAGAGAGAGAGAGAGAAGAGAGAGATAGAAGAGACGAGGGGGGGGGGAAGAGAGAGAGAGAGAGAGAGAGACGAGAGGAGAGAGAGAGAGAAAGAAAGAGAGAGAGAGAGAGAGAGAGAATGGAGAACGGAAATAGTGGGCAGCGTTTTGTCAAAACCTCACCCGAAAGGGAAGCATTGCAATGCAATATCTCCCCAATAAGCTATGTGGCAAGACAATACCCTGGGCAGGTCCTTAGGGAAGCGAGGTCCTACGACGAAACAGCCACAATAATAAATGAAATGAAATCTTATCCTTCGGTTAATCTATCCTTCTGATGATTAACTCGCGACGAATTCGAAACGTCACAGTTTAATTTCATTCCCTAATATGGCTGTTTTTTCTATTCAGCTTTGTAAACTCGTTAATGAGCTTGTATTTCTGCTCATCAAGGTCTATACTTTTATAGACCTTGCGGTATGTGCCTTGTATGTGTTATTAAGAAGTCCATTAGGACCCCCTCACCCCCTCCAAAATGTACACAGTAGTAGGATAGAAACGATGACTGGCACAGGATCTCCAATTTGATACTGATAGCCCTTTTGATGCCAGAGATTTGTACGCTCATGAAAATTATGAAAAATGGAAAATCCCTTACTATATAAGTTATGTAGTTATTTACTGACTATCACCAATATGTTGCATTGGTTAATAATTACAAACCACTGTTACCCGAGTCGATTTTTTTCTTGAGTTTTAACATTTTGCAACATGAAGTATATCAACATAACAGCCACAGCCGATGATTTTTTTTTTTCGGAATTCTACACTAAATCTATTATGCCGCTTAATATCATTTTGCGACTATCTGTATTAGGCTTATAATGAATGAATTTGAGATCTATCGATGGCGTCAAAAGTATTATGTCGTATACTGGTCGAAAATGCAACTGAACCACAGCATACCATGTCCTGAAAATCACTTTCTTATTAGGTACAACGAATTTGACTGTCTTACATTCACTCCACGCAACATAACCTAAGCAAAATCTATGACAAAGATTTATATTCCTTACATACTACATGACAAACAGAAACAAAATCCATTCATTTTCACCATACCTGCCACCATCTGCCAAATAACGTTGACGACGGCCACCTTCATAGCATGAGGAACTGGTTTTGGTTCATTGGCCTGCTCCTTCAACCGTTCGACCAGCTTGCGTGCCTGCTCTTGGACTCCTGTCACTAGCTTGGATTTGCCCATTCCTAGGTCCCTTAACTGCCGAAGGGTGAAACGACGGTTGGCATGCCAGTGGGCCCCGTTGCTCGAGCCGACACCTACGGGAAAAGGCAGATATCATGTAAGCCCAGTGTATTTCTGTGTTTACATTTATACAGTGTTAGAAGATTGGTAGGGAATCAATTGCAGTTATATTCGGCATCTGTTAAGAGCCATGATCTCTTCTTAAATTGGCTGGTTATTTATATCAGATACAGTGTATATGTCGCAAACCATTTTACTTACATGGTGTGCTCAATCGTCTATAATCAAACGTGTTCTTATGAACAAAAATGCTATCAAAGGTTTTAATGTACTTTTAACTCGAAAAAAACATTATTTCTTATTATTCTGGGGCAACTATAGAATGAACATTTGCTTTTAAGGATACCAAAGTCACATTGTCGTAATATAGGGTTACTGTAGCCTATCAGTGTAGAAGGAGGGGTTTTGTACCCTTCGTGGAAAATGAAAAAGGGGATTAAAGAGACATTAGAACTGAGAAAGCCTCCCCTTAAAAGCGCCCTTCAGAAGAGGGTCCTTACATTTAACTCTGCTTGTCGTAACAACAAAGAAAAGAAAGTATAAGAAATAAATACATAAATACATATGACACCGAAAATACATAGCCGCAATATTGGTACAGTTCAATGTGACCACCATTACGGCACATGAACCCGACTTA